ACAGTGCACAAAGCTTCCATTTTCTCTGCATCCTTGATAACACTTGCTATTTTCTGTTCTTTTGATAGTAGCCATCCTAGTGGGTGTGACATAGATTATGTCCACAACCCCAGCATTTAAAATGTTCAATTTAATTATGTTACTACATACTGGACTCTGGTACTAGACAGTCCTGGAGTTTCTTTTTTAGTGGTTTACATAGTGCCCATTATATAACAACAAGTAGAGTTGTCAAATTTATGGATGAATGAATAGACAAATGGGAAAGAGGGGAGAAAGGATGCGTTAATAAGATTTAATATAGAGTAATTTTAGTAAAATGTGGGTAAGGGAATTTGTTTTTTTTTTTTTAAAGATTTTATTTTTAAGTAATCTCTACACCCAATGTGGAGCTTGAACTTACAGCTGTGAGATCAAGAGTCACATGCTCCACTGACTGAGCCAGCCAGGTGCCCCAGTCTTGTTTTGACAAGTTCAGTTGAGGCTTCTGCCAGGGTTGGAGAAGTGAATTTCCATTATTGTTCTTATAAAGATGACCCTTGATATTCAAGAAGCACAGAGATAATAGCAGCCATAATTCCTGATATTTAGACTGCAAGTTAGTGGCAATGAGCACTTAAACTAAGAATCCTTTAGGATTATCAGGAATATAGTACAAATTCGTGGGGCATATCAATATTCTTGAAGACAAATCACAATAAAAATTTGATTCAGGTTCCAATCCCATCAAATTGATTTCAAAAGAACTGCCAAATTAAGCACATCCTGTGAACAATTACCAAGTAAACAGAAAAGCCAGAGGATCAAAAAGCTTAGTGTGACCTGTATAAACTTGTATAGTTTTTAAGGCATGTTATCTTGAAAAGTAAAATTTTAAGGCAAATAAATGAAAGTGCCTATTTATAGAGCTGGTAATGAGGTAAAATTTTTCATACAACTGTACATACACAGTTTACAAAGCAACTTCCATTGAACAAAGAGAATATTTTTATGCATCAGGATCTTACTAAGCACTCATTATTATTTACAATACTGTGCTGGCACTTAGTATTATTTTTAAAAATAATAGTAAGCATGTACTGAATACTAGTTAATGACATCCTTAACTCATATAAGTCGTGAAATGCAATTACCACCCTCTTTTTCAGTACACCCCTTCCCCATTAAAATCAGAATACTAGAATAGTGATTTTTAATTTTTAATTGCCATACTAACAATATCAAATTAGTATGTTTCCATGAATTTACTGTCCACTAGTCATCAAATAAATAAACGTCCTTTTGCCCCCCACCACCAAAAAAAGATACTAGAATATATGGCTATTCCCCTGACCTTTGCTTTACCTTTACATTGCAAACAGGAATGGGATCAAAAAACCAGCCTTTGATTTTCTTTATACTTAGAATTGCACTGAAGCTTCTGAGGCATGAGGTAAGCTAGGAGTGCCAATTAGCTCCACTAAGAAATCAACTTTACTTTAACGTAGTAATGGCAACAATCCCACACCCATCCCATTCCAGCACTGGCTCCTAAATACTCAGCCTAGTAATAGGGAGGTGTCAAATCACTTTCCCAACCATGTGCTCTAACAGTTGTACCTAAACACAGGGCAGTTTACTTGTTTGGTATCTTGACATCACAGGGCAAAATGGTAAAACCTTCAGCAAATGAAAAGCACTTGTGCACCTGAAATTTCTACTAAGCACTTTTTTCTTTAATTGTGGATTTTAAATGCTTTCAAGAATTCATAAACACCCGTGCAAAACTTTTCATAATTAGAAAAAAACCCTACTATAATTCAGTAGAAGTTTTTAAAACTAATGCAGTGTTTCTTAGTTTTTCTGAGGTCACCAGATCCACTTGAGAGACTGATAAATTTATGGACACTGTTCCTCTTCCTCAAAAGTGCTCAGACATGCAAAACTTAGTTTGCCATTTCATTGATTTGTAGATATCCTGAAGCTCAATTAAGATTTAGAGATGTCGGGACGCCTGGGTGGCTCAGTCGGTTAAGCTTCTGCCTTCTGCTCAGGTCATGATCTCAGGGTTCTGGGATCAAGCCCCACGTTGGGCTCCCTGCTCAGTGGGGAGTCTGCTTCTCTCTCTCCCTCTGCCCCTCCCCCAACTCATGTGCTCACTCTCTCTAAGAAATAAAATCTTTAAAAAAAATTAGAGATCCCAAGGGTTAAATAATTTGCATACACACTATGTCTATTTCCAATGTTCTAATTACCCTCTACCTTTTAAAAATTTATTATCAGGGGCAACTGCGTAACTCAGTGGGTTAAGTGTACCACTCTTGATTTTGGCTGGGTCATGATCTCAGGGTTATGAGATGGAGACCCGTGTCAGGCTCCGCACTCATCGGGGAGTCCACTTGAGATTCTCTCCCTCTCCCTCTCCCACTGCCCCTCCCCCTGCTTGTGTGCTCTCTCTCAAATACATAAATAAATAAATCTTAAAGTTTATTTTTAAGTGAACCACAGACTGTACAGACTGCATGCATTTAAATAGTAACAGTAAATAGCTATATATATGCTATGCAGCTTAGTAAGACACCAGCAATACATTTGAATACCTTCACGAGGTATAACAATGACCAACACTCGGTATACACTCTATAATATACAAATTTCCTTTCAAATACCTTGTATCATGTAATAAAAACTTCTTTCGGCTAATGCCTTAAGTATTACCTCTACTTCATAGGTATTGTCTTCCTTCACTGGTTCCTATGCTTATACCTCCCAAAATTCTTAAGCAGTTCATGGAATATAAAAGGTAGATAAACCTGGATTCTCTACCAATTCTAGTTGGTCTTTTTTCAGAAATGCAATTAATGGCTCAAATCAAGATGCCTTCTTCTAACTTAATCAACAGATACACGTGTAAAACACACACACACACACACACACACACACACACTTCCTCTCTCTTACCTCCTCTCTCCCTCACCCTCTCTGAAGAGGGAAACATTCACTGTCAGTGATAGAAGGATAAATCAGTGCAATTCCTTTACATGGTAACTGGGTAATGTATATCAAAATTTAAAATGTGCATACTGGGGCGCCCGGGTGGCTCAGTTGGTTAGACTCCTGACTCTTGGTCTTGGCTCAGGTCATGATCTCAGGGTCCTGGGATCAAGCCCTGTGATGGGCTCCACCCTCAGTGGGGAGTCTGCTTGAAGATTCTCTCCCTTTGCCCCTCCCCCCTGGCTCCTGCTATCTCTAGCTCTCACTCTGTCTCGAATAAATAAAGAAATCTTTAAAATAAAATGCACATACTTTTTCATTTAATAATTTCACTATTAGGAAATTATTAGGTTATTTTTTACATTATATGGAATAATGTATGGGAAATGATATTCATACCCAATTCTGAATTCTCCAAAGTTCCGTATCTAAATTATCACAGCCAGCTGCATGCTATATATATATACATATATGTGTGTGTGTGTGTGTGTGTATATATATATATACACACACACACACACACACACATATGTATATATATATTTTTCCCCATTGCCTTGAGAATGAAATTAGATCTGATGTCAATGGTACTGCCATCCTCAGACTGGATATTTCTTTTTTTTTTTTTTATTTAAAGATTTTTATTTATTTCTTGGACAGAGACACAGCAAGAGAGGGAACACAAGCAGGGGGAGTGGGAGAGGGAGAAGCAGGCTTCCCGCAGAGCAGGGAGCCCGTTGTGGGGCTCGATCCAAGGACCCTGGGATCATGACCTGAGCCGAAGGCAGGTGCTTAATGACTGAGCCACCCAGGTGCCCCAGACTGGATATTTCTGTCATAAATTTTCCTTAAATGAACTGTCAAACTTTGTCAGCTTCATTTCCATTGTATCCCCTTCATCCATGCCTTTATATTCCCAAGGCATTACATGATTTTCAGTTCTTTCCCGCAGATTATTAAAACTTCTCAGTTAGATTTCTATACAATTCCTATACATTCCGTTGTGTGTGTGTGTGTGTGTGTGTGCAGTATAGATTCTGTATATTGTATAGATTCCTATATAATACAATTCCTATACGAAATCTTTCATCTTACCTAGTTTTCCACTTTCATCAAACATACCCTCTAAAATCACAAATCACATCATGTCATTCTCCTAAAAATATATCTCAGAAGAAAGTCCCAAGGTCTGGCATTCAAAGTCTTCTTTATTCTGATAATAGGCTCCTTCTCTTTATCCACAGCCTTCCAGGTAGCTAATGCCCTAGCCTAACTGGTCTAACTAAACATTTCCCTATCACAGTGGACAATTTCTTACCTCTTATCATTGCACATATTAGTAACCTTGAGTGGAATGCTCATTTCTAGATATTTTTACTTTTCTAAATTCTACTCATTCTTCATGGCCCAATACAAATGCTACCTTTTCTGTAATTATCATTCTAAGCTAAAAATTAATTGCTCCTCTTTCAGCATCCTAATATACTTTATCCCTGTATATAGTATTTATTTCAATCCATATATCACAGATTGTTTTATACACGTTGATCAGGATCAAAAAAAAAATTTTTTTTTAAAGTAGGCTCTACACTCAGCACAGGGCCCAGTGCGGGGCCTGAACTCACAACCCCGATATCGAGACCTGAGCTGAGATCAAGAGTTGGATACTTACTGACTGAGACACCCAGGTATTCTGATCATTATCAATTTTCTAGTTATTTTTGCATCTTTCTCACAAGCACAGTGCTTTATCCACAGAAGGCATTTAAAAAGTATTTTTAAACATGAATTAATAATGGCTCGCATTTAAAAAATATTTTTTCTTAGATCATAAATTTTTATAAAACTACTTTGCATTCTTACACAAAATAAATATGAACTTCTTGAACACATGATCATTTAAAATTCAATGGCTGTTTTTTCAGAGGGTTGAGGTAGGGTAGCCCAGTGCCTTTTGCTTTTCCTACCCCAACTAAAAAAAAAAAAAAAAAAAAAAAAAAAACAGGCAAAAAACATTTAAGAGTTACCTTTTCAACATCTGAAAGAGAAGTTAGTGACTGATTTTGAAGAACCTCTGGTGCGGTGAATGCGCGAAGATCCTGATTGGAAATATTTTCATCTGTAAATGACACACTACCAGATGGCAGCAACAGCAGAGACCATGGAGAAATGATGAAACCAAGGGCAGCAGGATCAGCTATGCTTACTGGTTTGTAGCCACACAGAATAAAAAGAAGGAAAAAAAACTGCTTAAAATTATAATCCAAGTATAGATCATTTAAAGGACTATCCAAACTTATTCATATTTATGTGAACAGGTAGTTACAGACACCAAAGCAACATGCTACAAAGAGAATGGGTTTCATGTATCTACTATTGTTAACATTATTAAAAACATTACCTTGATTTGGCTTAACCTTTTAAAATTTAGACGGTAAACCTTGGAGAGCAAAAATAGAAAATTTTCATTGTCAGTCATAAGAATTAAATTTGGTTTAAAAATTTTACCACAGTGATACAGATGTACATAAGGATTAAGTGGTTCTTAAACTTTGGTGGGGGGAATCATGGATTCTTTTGAGGATTTGGTGAAAAGTATGGTCTCTTTTTTGAGAATATAGATAAAAATATAAAACTGTATACAAAAGAGATTCATGGATCTCCATATAGCCCATTTATGGACCCTATGTTAAGATTTCCTGATTTAGACTACAGTGTTGTGAAACATTCATCAGATTTAGAATTAGTAAGGTTTCAAGTTTAAGAGAATGCCTCTTGTTCTGCATCAAAATATATATTTGTCTGAATTCAGATTTTTGTCTTGTTTGCATTTGTTCATTATTTCACTAGAATTTCAGGCAGTTTCTATACTACCAAAGGTGATCATTGGGGTCTCTAACATTTTTTGTTTTCATGTTTGCCTGTATGGGTACCTAACAGCACATGTTTAAGAGTATTAAAAAAAAAACAAACAAAACAAAAAACCACACACACACACACACACACACACACACACACACACACACACTCCTTAGATTTCAGCAGGCCTGCTCACAAAAGTGAAGGTATACATTAGGCTCAACAAAGTAGACTTATTAGAGGGAATTTTATTTTGTCCTCCCATTGCAAAAGGAAGTCAATATACATTTTAAGGTAACTGCTACATGAACTGGAGTATGGACTCAAGAAACTGCTACAGGAGAGTCACAAAAGGCCTGTGACTGCCACTGCCACTATTATTCAATCTGAATAGGCTGTATTGATAGCTCTCAAAGCCAAATCATAAGAAATTGACAAAGTCTATGGTACAATTTGTTAAACACATTACAGTATCTATACTTTCCCGAAAACAACTTTTAATAGAACAGAATCATTCATCCTTTCTGACTTTTTAACTTCTACTTATGGTCAAGATTCTAATCAGAATTTGACTTATGTTAAAAAAAGTAAACTATTAAAATTCATTCCTTTTTTGAAGATTAAAAAGACAATTATATGTTCTCCTGCATTTTTTATGAATCTGAAACATGTCTTTAGTAACTGTGTCAAGGAAGAAATGTTTGAATGTATCCTTTCATCAGTCAGCACATCTTATGTTACACTGAAGCTGAGTTACAGACCAGTGGTCCTTATAGTCCCACCCAATCACACATCAGGCAGCTAAAAACATGGCCCACAATTCTTATGCTAAAATGTTTTAATGAATCATCACAGCTGGAAAGCCTAGGTATATTGTCTTTCAGAGCCACTTTACACATTTTCTGTTAAAAGCTTCTTCCTGGGTATTTCATGCACAAATATTACACAGTCCAGCTAAAGAGAACTCAAAACAGGGCAGAACAATATTTTCTTTGCCAAACGATGCTATCCGAAATATTGATATTTCCCATGTCACAGATATTATAAAAGTCTACAATCAATTCCTTTCAAATTAGCAATAAAAGGGAACAAACATTAGGAGACCAATAAGGAAGGCCACCCACTAATACGTGGTATGAGATGATGATGGCCTGGAACCGCATAGTAGTAGTAGGGGTGGTGAGAACCTGTTGGAACTTGAATGTATTTTAGAGGTGGTGACAACAGAATTTCCTGACATACTGGATGTGAAGCAAGAGAATGAGAAGAATCAGGATGACTCCAAGATTTTGGTCTCAGTAATGGAAAGGATGGAGTGTCTTCAACTGACTTAGAGCACAGGTGGCAGAGGTAGGGGTTGGGAGATGCTGGGAGGAATCAGAACTTTACTTTGGGACCTACTAAGTTTAAGATATCCGTTAGATATTCAAAGGGGGGGATCAGTAGGCAGCTGGATTTGGAATTTGGGGGAAAGGTCTGAACTGGAGATACATTTTGGGGGTCACTGGCCTACTAGATGGTATTTAAAGTCTTGTGACTGGATGAGCTCACCAAAAAATGAGTTGAGATAGAAAAGAAATCAAGGGCAAGGACCGTACCCTGGGGTACTCCAACATTAAGTCTGACTGCTCCTTGTTAGTCTTTTTTTCCAGGTTGTTCTTCCCTTTGGCATCTGTGCAAGCATGGTGTTATAATCTCCCTCTCACACTTCTTTCACTCATCACTGCTATCTCCACTCCGTATTTTAAATGATTCTTTTTATAGCCTTTCTATGCAGTTCCCCAGTACCTAATCCTAAATCTAAGAGAGGAGGCTGGGGTTCTAACTCTCATCCCTAATTCCTGTCAGTCTTATTTGGGGATAGAATTATGATTTTTTGGTATACTTGTTGCCACCTGAAATTATAAATAATTGGAAATCACAGCTAACTGAGAGGCATAAACACCACTCAGAAATCTAAAGGCTATGTCCTGTCTTGCCATATTGGGTGCTAGTGTCCACTTAGACCAGAAAAGAGCTTGCTACACTTCTCCTCATTCAAGGCCACAGACTAACCCTACCCCAGCCTTGACAGTAGCACAGAACAGAAACTGCTGAAGGTGAAAGTAATCCCTGCTTGCTTAGCACTGCAATATTAAGAGATTTATTCACTAGCACAACCAATGTCAGCAAAACTACTGTTCCTCTGGCAAGAACATTATCTTTCACATTGTACTTTATACCACAGGTTAGTGTTTGTTTGTCTTTCCTGAATATCTAAAGTATACCATTATTATAAACACCATTCATATTTAAAAATAACCTTCCCAATCTGACAAGTCATTTGCTCAGAGAGCCCAAAGTACTACTAGGGAGATAAAATGTGTTTATAAAATAAATACAAGAGAGAAAGCATAAGGTATCTAGGAGAGAAAAGGGAACACAAAAGGAAGTTTAGAGGACAGCATAATTACTTCAACTACAATGAAGAATTAATTTCTTTTTTTATATGTGGCCCTTTAATATAAGTAAGATTTGACCATCATTACAAGGGAGATTCCAAAGAAAACAAACAGCCAAAGCAAAGACATGTGGTCAGGAAATTATTAAGTTTGTACAAGGAACAGCAAGAACTTTGGGCAGAGAAATGGCAGAAAGCAGTGAGAAACAGAATTACCAAGGTGGGTCATATTTTCGCTTGTTAGAAAACACACACACCTAAAGAAATGACAGATATTTTCATTGTTTTCAAATGTGACTTTTAAATATCTGGTAATAAGCTAAAGCAGCTGCAACAACAAACTACATTGCTGTCAAATACCCAAAACACACACATATGACATTTAAGTATTAGATTCTTTAGAGAACAGTCGAACCACAAAATATATTTTTCAATAATTGTAAAGGGTTATGCAAACCTACAAGTGAGGAAATTTAGAGTAGTGGCTCCAATCAGTGTAATTCACTGTCCTTGTCTAACCACAAGGAAGGAATTTAAAGCAAATGCATTCAAAATCCTTCACAGAATGCTAAAAGAATATTTAAAAATGGAATTCCAGAAGCTTGTAATTTGATGTTCTATAATGTTTCACTTGTGAGATGATTATCCTCAAGAATGCTATTATTATGAAACAGTAAATCAGATGTGAACTGATTCCAGTAGTCAAATGATTCTATTTATAGACTTTTACCAACATTCCACAGAAAAAGTTGCTTAAACAGAATTTCAAGTGGCTAGAGGCAAAATTAGAAATAAGCAAAAACCTGATAGGCAAAGAAACATCTTACTCAGAGCTTCTTTCCGATGTTCCCTTAAACTAAGTCCCATATCCATGCTTTTACTCAAATTTACTTTTTAAAAGATTTAATTATTTATTTGAGAGAGAGAGCACACCTGAGAGCAAGTGCCAGTGAGGGGAGGGGCAGAGGGGGAGGTACAGAGAGAGGGAGAACCTCAAGCAGACTCCAAGCTGTGCGCAGAGCCTGACAGGGGACTTGATCTCACAACCCTGAGATCATGACCTGAGCCAAACTCAAGAGTCGGATGCTTAACCATTTGAGCCACCCAGGCACCCCACCACACTTGTTTTTCCCCGCTGAGGGACTTTATTTTCTATTGTCTCCTTCATTTTATTTTTTAGCCTTCCAATTATGGTATAAAAATCAGGAAAATGATCATAACTGGTAACAAACATGGTAAGAGAACTAAAGAAAATATCAGGAAATCATCTAAAGACTTAGAACAACGATATCATTTTGGCCTGAAAAAGCCCTTTGCCTATTTAGGTACATATACAGAAATTGTAGTCCTCCTATTCCATATGTTCTATTACAGTGCTTGTCAAAAATCTATGCAGAGTCCACTGTTCCAAACTCCAAAAAGTTTGATGAAGTCACTCTATAATATACAATTCTCTGAAAAATTCAGTTCGTATGTATATACAAATATATACAGTGCTAAATAAATCATCTGGTATAACACTGCACAAACAAAAAAATAACTGGCTCAGAATATCTGAACATTTTCTTGATTAGCAAAACTTTGTGTAATACTTAATTAGTAAATTAGTAATTAGTAAAACTATTGTGTAATTAGAATTAAGACATCTATATAATGTGCATTGATAATATTAGTCTCTTCAAAGTCATTAATGTTTGCATATTTTTTCTTGATATAACCAACTGTTCAATAGCACTTAATAAACTCCAACAAGCCTTTGATCCTAGAATTTGTATTCTTGTGTAGTAGGTTTCAGACCTTGCTGATCATCCCAAATCTCTAAACTCAACCAGAAGATTTGGAAAGATATCAGATAACTGTCAGCTTCATTTCATTCCTTTTAGTATCTGACTTTATTAATTTAGTAT